GCTTATAGCTAGCTAATTATGCAAATCGTTGGGAGTTTCGTAACTCCTCCTGGTTTACTTAGGTACAACTTAACTTGTCCAACAGGGTGTGTGTGACACGAGATGGGTATGGTATGACTGCACCCAAACAAGAATACGATATGTGGTTAGGTAGCCAGTAGTTATGCATGTGTTTAGATTTTACTATATATATTTAGTAAGATCTAAACATTTGAATTAGGTGGATAAATGAAAATCAGTTTTTAATTTAAACCGAAGAGTTTATTAGCCTTGGCTAAGGTACTAACTACTCTTGGACGTAGCGGGTTGCGATCCGCTACACTCGTATTTGTCCTTGTAAAGAACAAAAGGTCGGTGACCTCAACTACGCTTGCTCGAGCGCCAAGCTACGGTAGCCCCGCTGCAAGATGGGTGTGAACCCACCCTAACCAATACACAATCGTCTTGCTCGAGAATCGTAAAACGATGTCTGGCTTCGATCTCTTGTCCATTGAGACGAGGCGTTTGGGAGGGCTGGGCTGGGGGACTTCGAAAAATGGTCTGGTGGATTGGATCACGACGAGTCAAATCAAGATGGTCGAGTGATTAAGGTGATAGACTTGAAACCCATTGGGGAAACGCGCGTGAGACAGCTAAAAAATATGGTGTGATGAAATTGTGAGAATGTAAACTCAAATTATATGATGGGACATCAAGTTATGGGAAAGTTAGTGTGCACCATTACAGACAAAGAGGCTTCGTCTTTCTCTGCCATCGATGTACAAAACTCACATCTATGAGGGAACCGCTTAATGAACTCTCTACCTATGTTTTCGATTGGCTCCTTTCAAATAAATTAAACAATTCACCGTCACTTTAACTAGGTCACTATTGACCACAGCTCAAATAAATGAGGTGTGTACACAAAACGATCTCATGCGTTTGTGTCGGTCAAAGTCTCGAAGCAAGCTAGAGGATAGCGTGCAGACTCACGCGTTGGTCGTCGTCGAGCGACATGCGGTGAGCTAGCACAACATCTTCAGATCGCTCTGCCTCGGGAACGTACGAAATTGTAGCTGAGGACCGGCGATAGAAGGCGCTAGATTCGCTAACGCGGGAGACTTTGCCAGAATATCGAGGCTGATGGCTGTACTGAAGGTTGTTTTCGCTGCGACGCGAGTTTGCGACGTAGCTATGCCGGTAATTTTTACGAGGGTCACTTCCGCTGCGTCGCACGGACGCAGAACTTTGACGAAAATACGAGCCCATGTCACTCGGTCGCAGGTGTGCCAGGTCACTTGATCGTACTGTTGATGAGCCACTGCCGTACGACCGACTTCCTCCAATAGATGCGTGCGAACCACGAGACACAGCAGCTGCACCATAAGCTTGGAAAAACTTTTGCATCTCGAAACTTAACTGGCCGCCAGCATCACTGCTCGAGCTTGGCGTAGTCGATGATGAAAGCGTGTTGCCTACACCACTTTGGTAAAATTTGTCCATATCGCCTAAATCGATAACTGAACGCACACTAGAGGCGGTAGTGTTCTGCGAAGCATATGAAAAGTTGGAAGCGCATGAACGCGGAGACGACAGACCTCCAGAAGACGCGTAGCTGTTCGAACGGTGACGAATCAGATTCGATGAGCGGCGATGCGAGGACGGCAAGCCCTCAGGCGGTAAATCGGATGCAATGTCCGCCATTTGATCGTCAACATTCGACGTGGGCGCAACGAGAATGTTGCTGCTACGGCGAGATAGGTCAGGACGCTCCAGGTGACGAGATGAAGAAGACACGGATGACCTTGGGGCACAGTCACCGTACGCGGCAAGACGATCTTCTTCGTCGTCGTCGGTAAACGAGCCTTGGACCTCACGGCGACCAACTAAAGAGCTCGCATCGGCTTCGATAAAGTCGAAGTATTGAGTTTTTTGAATCCAGCCTTCTGGGATTGCTTGTAAACCGTCTTGCGCAGCGAAGCAAGCACCTATGAACATGGCTCGACGGCAAGTACGTCCACCTCCGATGATGTTTTCACGAACGGCAGTGGGATAGTCGTTCAGTACGAAGAGCGGTTGCAATACAGCGTGGAAGCCACCGGGTAATGAGCCGCGGTTACCAAATGTCTGAATAGCCTCGTAACTCGGCAACTGTGACTTTGTAAAAGCTTTGAAGATAACCTTGCGCTGCTTTACACTCAATCGTTCGGTACGAATGCTCATGCGCATGGCCTGAAGCACAGACGCTCCAAGTATCACCTGCTCTAGAACAAAAGCTGCCACAAGGGCAGCATCGCGAACACGAGTGCCGACGTAGAATACTTTGACTAGCTCGTCTACTTTAGTAAATAGCTGATTTGTACCGGCATAGAGCGCTACGACAATGGGGATCAGTGACAGAACATCGATTGACCGACATTTGACGGCACAGTGCGGCCAGCTCTTGCCAGAATTCACGCGTTTGATAAACGCTCTTGACGACGCACTTAGCAGCCGATGGTCGTTCTTAAAACCCCAAAATGCGTCCTTTGCCAGTTGTGAGCCGTGGATATGTCCACGTCGCGCAATGCATTGCAGTAGAATGCGAGCTTCAAAACCCGTGGATGACTCCATCCTTGTACAACTTCCTTTCTTGTCACCGTCATCAGCTGTGTCGTACAGGCCGCAGAACGCAGGATCGAAGTCGAGACGCAACAAATTAGGAATGGTCTTTTCTGGGTGTGAGACACCGTTAAGGGATGTGGAAGCCGCATCTGCCACAAAGCCACCAATCAACGCCGCAAGCGCGCGTCGCCTCGCCGCAGCACTCAGCGGCAAGTCAAGCGTAGCGCACGGCAATGGGCGCTCAACTGCTTGCACGAATTCTGGTGTCGTGGCCGTGAAGCGATAAAAACGTTTCTTATTGTATTCGAACTTTGTCTCCTTCTCTACCTTTTCGATGTAATGATGAGACAGCAAACCTTGGCCTTTGCGCACAGCCTCAGCTACGCTCTTGGCCTCCATTTGCTCGAGCATCCAGTCGACAGCTTCCATGCCAGTAAAACAGTCTCGATATCGCTTGAAAATGTGACGTCGACGATCTCCCGTAGCCACATTTTGCTTCATACGAGCGGCTAGACGCAGCAGGGCCTCCTCTTGCTCCTGCTCCTGGTCACCATTAGCTGTTGAAGACTCTGGCACGCGCTCTACAGCCGTGGGCATAGAAAATTGCATGGCTGGCATGTACACGGTCGATCTAATGAAGCAAACGACTGCGTGTATCTGCACGAGAAGTGATAATGCCCAGCATGAGGATGAGATGTGGTCGAGAAGACAACAGCTGGCACTGGTCTCTGTGCAGTAAGAGCTACCAGAATGGATTACTTCACTTTAACGAAGTAAAATCTGACGGTATAAATGTGGATGGGCAGGCACAGTAGTATCAGTGCTACGCGATCGTCTATGCGTCAGTGGTAGCAACGCATAACTCGCCGTCACAATGTAGACTGGCTTTTCTAAACCGACTCGTGTACTTTATTAATTGACACAGCATGTACTGCAGCGCTGTCGTAAAATTATCATCCTAAATACCACAATAATTTAGAGTCGTGCTGTGCGTTCTTATGCCTTCTTGAAGCAAGCTGCATACGGTAAAGTTTAGGTCCTTGATAAAATTCTTTTAAAGATCCATCATGTTGCGAAACGGCCTCAAAACTTCTATCAGTCCAGACGGGCACTTTCACGTTTGAACGTTTCAGTCATTTTTCGAAAAAAGCTGTAGTTTCTGACCCGAAGTAATGTACCGCAACGCCCGAATAGATCGCCGCTGAATAGGAGCTTTGTTCGTCAGCCGGACTTAATGAGCTCTATAATTCTATCCTCGAGCTAAGCATAATGGGAATATTCCAGATGTTTTTCTAGCAAGCATAAGGCGTGTCCACTTTAATTAGCGTACTTGAAATATTCATAGATGGGTTTATTGTATTCGCTGCAAAAATAAGGAGTAAATTTAGTCTGCTTTGAAATATTTCAAAGCTTACCAGCTGTTGTGATGACAATTAACGATACAAATCAAACATCAATGCTTCTGCCCTGAACTGCCCGATGATGGCAATATGCATCAAATAGCAATTCAATCAGACGTGGTTGTGTATTTCTTATCCATCCACTGCCTTTAAAGCGGTAGACTTGCTCTTCTTAGTGCTTGAGTTAGTTTCACACGTATTCATCCTTTAAAATAAAGTGAAATATAGCGACGCAGATTGTTCAGTTATTTGACTCATTGGCTGACGCATGATCCAGTTCCCTGCATGCTTGTGGTTGCAGACTCCAGAAGCAGTTAACTTGATAAAAACCGATATACGAATTGATTTGTCTTCTTACGCATGCAATCAAGCTGTACATTTGACGAGATCTCGGCCGCTGACGCATTAAGCTCATTATGATTTTTTATGGGCTAAGAATGTCTTCGTCAACATCAAGTCATTTTTGCGCATTCACAGAGGTAAAACACGATCACTAAAAGCTGATTCGTGTTTAATGCCCGCACGGCTCGCTGTTAAAATCGTCGTCGTCAATTCGCACTCGAGCAATAAAGTCTTCACCTAGTAATGGTTCCCCACCAGGAACATGCAATCGCACAACAAAGTGCTTTTCCCACTGTTCAAAGCACGTGTCGTCCATGATAGGAACTGTCAGCAATGTCGAAGTCTCGCCTGCAGCAAAAGTTATCTCTCCTGAAATCTGCTGGTAGTCTCCACAATCTTTGCGCATGATCAATGGCAATTTAGTGCAGGCGGAAAACTTCAATGCATCCACCCCAACAGCGGAGCGATCCTCAGTCGCGTACCCAACCGTGAGTGGCCGAGTCAAGTTACTAGTCGCCGCGGAACGTAACAGCTTTAAGCCCACAAAGCCATCAGCATTCCTTTCGATGCAAGAGAACCAAGAATCTGTGAACTTGACACCCACGACGGCCAAATCGTAGGCAAATGCACGGCCAGATTGCGGTGAAGTTGAAGAGATGGAGAATCCTGGTGCACCAACTAGTAGATCCCTGCCGTCCAAGTCAAGCGCAGCACCGAATTGAGACTGGCGCTGCTTCTGTGGATACTGCATCTTTACCGCCTCTTTAGATAACCATTCAGGCGAACGTAGCAAATTACCAGCATCGTCGCGTACCTCATCAGAGCGCCGATATACGTACAGACTTCCCACCTGCTCCATCACTCCAAATCCTGCGATGCTTACATCTATGTCATCGCTTAGCATACTATCAATCGTATTGTTGGCGTCAACACCACGCTGACCAGGTGCGGCAACAACTGCAACACCCGAAATATCATCGACCGCAACACTGGAACCAAAAAGGTCTTCACTTCGTTTATCACTGGCAGCCAAACGTGCCTGAAATTCCCATTCGCAGCTCCATCGGTTCATGCCATCACACTTGACCGAAGGAACGCGAGTTCCTGGGGCACGCCGGCGAAAGGTGTACGCTGCACCAGCTTTTGATGTGGACGTTTGCGCCACACGCGTTGCTCCCCACGAGAAGCGCACGTCGTCGAAGTTAATATGACCCCAATTGGCATTGCTTGATGCATCCACCACTCGTATTTGTGCCGTCCGGTTGACAAATAAACTCAAGTCCCACGTAACATCGTGCATAGTCTCTCGGCATCGACCTGTAGCTCGAAGCTTTGAGGTGGCAGAGATGGGCCAAACAGTATCCGTTTGCGTGTTAGAAGACCCGTCCACTGTAACTTCTACAGCAACCTTCTCGGCAGCTACCGATTCGGAAACTGCTGCAGGTTGCCCATCGATAAGCAGTTCCACATAAACAACACGAATGTCGCACCCCCCGCCGATACGAAATGACAACCACTGTCCTTCTATTGTAAAAGGTAGAGATGTAAGCGTTCCTTGTGGTCCATCTCCTTGAGTTGAACCCACAGGCGTACTCGCACTTGGCATCTTGTAATTTGGTGCACGACACAACTCGTTGTTTGCGAAAGCACACATTTGGGCTGCGACATGTGTCGCGGTGTTTGCTTTTCCTGCTCCAGGACGTCCCTCAAATGTGCCAACCCAATAGCGGCCTTCGTGGCGTGCACGCTGGCCGGTGGGTGATGCACCGATATACAAACTTGGCCTGTAGAAATTGGTACGTCCGTAACTATTGTCTCCAAACGTCGGCTGCTGATCAAACGCTGTTCCTGTTGTGAGCCACCCCGTCAAGTCTCCCGTTTCGAAGTCCCAGGTCGTGGTCGTTAAAGCACTCGATCGGGCAGCTCCCACAATCGCTTGTTCGCCGCTAATACCAACACTGACGCCAAAGTGATCCCCAGCATTGCCATCTGGAGCCGTCAATCGAACCTGCTGCTTCCAGTCACTACTAAATGAAATAACTTCGGAGATCAGTATCTGATGGCTCGGGTCGGCGATGTATGTGCTGCTCAAGGCATTACAAGTAGGACAGCCGTATCCCAGCCACGAAGCTGTCATCAAGGGTATCTTCACAACATCTCCAATGAATGTTACTCTCCAAGTAAAGCCTTGCTCGACTGATCCCGTACGGTCAACCTCGACAAGTTTGAAGCCCAACTCATCAATTGTTGACCCATCATCATCGTGACCCTCTCTACCTTCAAGTGCTGTCTTGACTTCAAACGCCGTGGCGCTATACCTAAGAGCCCGTGTAACACCAGTCAGGCCACGTCGAGTTGCTGTCAGCCGAAAGGTGCCACTAGTTAGTAAATCACTTGTGCGCAATGAAATATGTTGCTCTTGCGCTTCAATATAGAAAATGTAAACAGCTCCTTTAGCAAAGTATGGATTGTCAAAGTCTGCGCTGTGGTTTTGCTGAGCACTATATTCGCCAGCATCCGATAATGGGGCTCCCACAATGATCGTTCTCTTATCCATTTCTACGGCGTGTCCAAAGCCATAAGATTGTTCGACAGTACGTCCGAGCATTTGATGCTGGAGACTGTCACTGGCACGCAAAGTCGATACAAGTTTCCACATGGCATTTACTTCGCGGTGATAAACGAAAACTCTTTCCAGTCCAGAAGCGCCTACGACTGCGATATCTCCGAAGATAGCAACAGCCTTTGAGCTCGCATAGTTATGATTAATGTCACCAGTAACCTGCGTTGGCTCATCAAGTCGCGTTTCCTCCAGCCACCGACTTATTACCGCTAGTTCGTCGCTGCGATACAGATAAATGTATGCAGCATCGGCACCTGGGGCACCAACAATAGCTCGAACCGGTCCAAGACTCCCGTCAATTGCAACAGAAGACCCGAACTTCATATCTCTAGCACAATCTGACGGGAAAACAGTGGCATCATGCTCCCAAAATCCGCTACGCCGCACGAAAAAATGCACAGCGCCACATTTGACACCAGTAGCGCTTTTTTCCAGCGGTGCGCCAATAGCAGCTGCATTACCGGCACCAAAAATGCTGACAGAACTGCTAAATCCGTTGGTTGCGTGAAACAAAGACGGCTTTGAGTTTAGATGCGCCAGATATGAACGTGCGCCACTTCCACCGTCTCCGTCATCTATTATCGTTACAGTTGACCAGAGGTCTCCAGTCACGCTAGGCCGTATGCCAGGCAACGATAAACGCAGCACCAAAGTTTCGTCAGGGTTCTCTACCACGCTATCATCTGTCGTTCGCACAACGAAAGAATGTGCAACATCGTCCACACTATCAAAAAAAAGCGTCCCAGAGCTCGACGAGTAGTCCGATGTGCCTGCATAATCAAACTGTGCGTTCACCCAAAGCGACCGACGCTCACTGCTGCCGTAAAATTGGTCTCGACCATTCGCTGTGCCGACAACGTCAGTATGAAGCCATTGACTCGTTTGCTTCCCAGCAGCGTCAAGTCGTGCTAATTTTTGGTATAAATTAATATACGAGCTATCGGCAGCATGAGTTGGAGCAAATTGTCGATCAGAAAAGGCGTCACCTGTATCGTACTGAACGTAAAGCTGTGGGGCATCAGACACGTCCACCGCACAAAATCCCACGCGACTACAGCGCTCCACTGTTATGTCCAGACTGTCACCTTCTAGCACGCTGTACGTTTTAGCCGAGAAGTGTAAGGAAAAAATTCCGAGGTCCGAGACGAAAGCTCCTCCAGCAGGTGTGCCCGATATAAATGAATCCAAATTTGGCGATCCAAACACTGCTGTTCGCTTGTGCACAGCTACAGCCGATCCAAACCATGCGAAAGTCTGTTTATCCCGCGGAGATATTGTTGCTTGCTCGATCCATACTCCGTTGACATCCCGAGTAAAAACATAAGCATTTCCACGTAGCACCGGTGCCAAGCGGTTGGCCCACTTCACCGTAATTTCGCCTCCAATTAGCTGTGTGCTGTCTGCTTCGAGAAGCGGAATTTTACCAGAGCTTCCTGCAAAAGTTACATACCACGTGTACCCTCGGGAAATGCTAGGGCCATCACGTTGAACATTTACGCTGATCAGATTCAAGTCCATTTTCAAGATGACCTGAAGATCTGATGCGCAAATGTCGTGCGCAATAGCTCGAGTATTTGCTCGTTTGGTGGAATTTACTTTTTTTGATGATTCGTCGGTATCCAGGCGCAAGAGACTCAGCGTAAATGAGCCGCCATGAATTATGTCTGTAAGCTCCGTCTCTGAGACACTGCTAGAGATAACTTGGACCGCCTTCCTAATAGTGCGATCACCTTCATAAAGCTCGTGAGCACCAACAATAATAGTCTCGTTCGCTATCGCGACGCTTGTTCCAAAGCGATCACGCGCACGAATATCTGAACTGTAAAGTACTTGCTGCAGCACAAAAAATATATCACGTTCACTGCGTCGAACGAATACAAGAACGGCGCCGCTATCCGCAGCATCGACTTCGTCATCTCGACGATAAGTATGACAATGGGCACCAACAGCTAGTGTATACGTAGAAGACATGTCTAGATCGACAGCATTTCCAAAGCGATCTCCAGGTTTCAGCATTTGAGTCACTTGCATTAGTATTTGGCGCCTTTGAAAAAAACCATCCACAAGATCATACACGAAAACGGCTCCACTGTTAAGAGCGTAGCCAGGGGCACCAATAACTAGAGTTTTTGATAAAATTCCTGAGATTGCCACTGCTTCGCCAAACCGATCACCACTTGATACCTGTTCAGGCGCTGCGCTCAAAGTTTGAAAGAGCATCCACTTATCTATCCCATCAACTTGATAGACAAACACACGGCCTTCGTCATCAAAAGATCCCGGCGCCCCCACGACTGCGAACGGCTCCAACAATGCCACTGCGCTACCGTAATCGCGCACAGTACTAATTTGATCGGCTGGTGGAGCAATCTTTGCAAGCTCCACCCAACGTTTTAGATTCTCGTCCCTTCTAAACATATAGGCAGCACCGCACTGCGATCCTTTAGCGCTAGCTCCGTCGCTGCGAAAAGTACCAGCTAGGTATTCATGCATCTGCGCATTTCCAGCGCCTAAACCCTTTCTCAATGCACTTGAGTCAACGACAAGGTCGGGTATATCACCTGAGCTATCCCCATGATTGCCTCCCCGTAAGGCTATTACAATCTCAACCCCTGCACATAGAGAAGTGTTATATGCGTCAATTTGAATTTCGCCGAAGTCAACCGACATCACTGTAGCAATTGCAGATTGCAGCTCCTGCATAGGGGCATTATAAGCTACAGATTTTGATGCCTTGTTACGATAGACGATTCGCAAATAGCCTCCATCAGCATCACACAAAAATGATTGTTTTTCAAAATCTCCGTAGATTGCTGCAGTTGGTGCGCCAACAAGCAACGTGAGACCGTGCAAACTTACACTAGAGCCAAATAAATCGCCTTCACGAGTATCATGCCCTGTGATCGTGCCATCTTGCTGTTCCCAGTCATTTTGACCACGTGTAAAGATTGCGACCATACCTGCCGACCTAACTGGCAATCCGCTTTTTGGGCTAAGCTTATCAGCCATTGTCAAAGAAGTTTCATGACTACCTACTTGAACATCAACGCGAGCATTTGTACCCTTCAGTTTTGTCGTGTTAGGTACAAGTACTGGTAAATTTCCTGGTGCGTTAATCAAGGGCCCATTTTTGTTCTTGCTACTCACCTTTAAAAATGTTATTGACCACGAGTAGCCACCATAATCATTCATACCGGCAGAACGATGAACAGTAACATCATTTACTGACACAAGATTTTCCAGCGCGTTTTTAACCTCGTGCTCACTTGCATCAACAGGAATGTCATCAGTCTCCTCGCTTAGAAATAATTTTGTGCGGAGCTGAAGCCTAAAGGACCCAAACAGACGACCCTGGCCGTTGCGTTCTGTACGCACAGTCGAGCGCGCTCCATATCCGGATAGCATAACGTCATGTGATAATAGCTGAGGTACATCATACATTGTGTCGCTCGCCCTAAAAGTAATTTTCCACGTGTAGGTCTTCATTAAATTTGGCAGAGAGCGCGAAACGCTCCAAACATTCAAGTTGAAATCCTGAGTCAAAATGGTCGTCAACTCTGCTTCATTGACGTCAAACATTATATTTCGCGAGACCAAAGTACCGAGCTGAAGCGTCAAAGCACCTCCCAATATAGTGGAGGGCACCGCAATTACTGCTACTGATCCAGACCTTCCGTCCCCAATTGACACTGATCTTCCAGTAAGCTGACTGTTGACCGCAGTCAGAGCGTCAAGGGGACCTTCGGCATCATGAAAGGTAATATGCCACACATATCCATTATCACAAGCGCAGTATGTATTTAGCTCCCGAGTTACGCTAATTGTTTGCATTTCAAACCCCAAATCCATTTGAATAGCTATACTTAATTGAGTCGGGTCAGCATTATATGGAAGCCGCCGCGTAGGTCCGACAAATCCAAGTTTAAGATAGAAAAAGCCGCCAATAGTCTCTCCAGGAGCTGCCGTACTTGTCAATATTTGAACCGCAGGCCTTTGCTTTGCTGTGGTCTGCAAAACTTGAATTTCATCAACAAAGGTCTCTGCATCACCCAAGACAGTTACAATCTGTACGGCAGCAGCTGGCCGACTTGCACCCGGTCCACCAAGTACAAGGGTGTCGCTGTCAACATCAACACTAGTACCAAGTTGATCTCCACTCGAAAACGGGGTGCTTCTTAACATATAGACAGCTGAAGGAAGCATATCAAAAAATGCACTGGTCTCGAGCAATGTTAGCCCGTGCAGCACACTAAAGCTAACTCTATAACCATTTCCTACACTATTCACGAAAAGATCCGTGAAGGTCGCTCTGCCCGAATTAATTGGCACTACTGTACGACCAAGTAAGCGCCCTTTCGGAGGATTCAAATGTAAGTCTACACTTTGACTTGCAGCGACATTTGCATCGGCCGTGCATGTTAAAATACGAGCACCATTAAGCTCCAGAGCTGTTGTGTTCGAATAGTCTAAATCAAGCGCAAAATCTCCTGTCTGTATTGTGTATTCAAAACGCAATGCCGTGCCGGGACTGCCGCTGATGTAGACACCATATCGCGAAATTGTTGAAGCTTTAGATGTTAAGTACGACGAGGTCTGACTCAGCCGAAATCTCAGTCTTGGCGTAGGACCTTGCGCGCCTTGCATGCCTTGATCGACAATCACACACGAGCTGAAGGTCACCTCTATTACCACAGTATCAAACACTTTGTAGATCCCGTCGTTCGACACAAAACGCGTTGAAATTATGCTAGGTTGGCGGCCGTTAACATAAAAGTTTTTGTTGTAACTTAGGCTGCCTTGAGTACGCGGATAAGGGAGATTGATATCAGCCTCTGTCGTAGGGATTGTGGACATATGCAGAATTGCACTAGGAATTGGGTTACGATCCGACAAGTCGAGAGAGTGATTATCAACATATTCTAGGTCCACAGAGTAGTCACCCTCTTGCACCGTGTAGATAAAGGTGAGCACTGTTGTCCCACTGCCAGAGCTGTAGATGGCCGTACGTGTCACCACACCCGTATCTAACCATAAAACTGGGTTTCCTTTCACAACGACATGCTGGCTGAAAGTCACTGTAAGCGCAATTTGGTCTCCACCCCGATATTGGCCATTCGTGTTTGACGAAGATACATCCAAAACGGAAGGAACTATTTCTCCATTCACACTCAGTGATCCCCTCAAGGGTGCTGGAAGGGGAAGTGTCAGCACCGCATTTGTTACTGAACTCGTCGCTAAACGTTTAATCGTAGATTGACCTAGCAGCAATGCATTTTGGTCGATGTACATCAGATCGCTAGCCACATCGCCTAGTTCCACAATATACTTAAATAACAACAAGTGTCTGTCATTATTTGCGTAACCTCTGCACAAAACAGGCTTCCCATTTTCCACAGTATTCAGAAGTAGCACAGGTGCCTTCTCTGGAAATACGCTCGGTGGAGGCTCGATATCCACTTCCAAATCAAACTGAATTACAATTTCAATTATATCACCTACCACGAACGAGCCGGCATTAATGCCAGGAGCAAGTGTCAATGCGTAGATGCTTAAAACTTGCGGAGCTTTTGTGTCAATCGCAATGTTTGCTGGCACTAAATTGATTGCAGTCAATGACAAGTCTGCATCTATTGAATTGCGGTTAATAATTTGGCAATTTGGAGCAAGGCAAATCACCGCGTTGTCGTCAAATTTATCTAATCCCAGCGAGGTTTCTCCATCTTTTACAACATACAAAAAAACAAGCGTTTGGGTAGTGCTACCCGATACGTAAGGCACAATCGTGCCCGTGTTAAGTTTCAGGACTGGGTGCGTCACTCCCAATAGAGCGACCTCATCCGAGAAGCTAAGCGATACAATGATGGTCTGCTTTGTTCCATACGTCCCTGTGGCAACATCCGCTGATAATTCCGTTATTCTAGTCACGAACGACAATGAAGGATTTACGATGATCTGGGGACTTAAAGATGGCGGATCCGGCAGCATCAAATTTGCATCCAGTGTAGGTGACTTGGAAGTCCGTCGGATTGTTGCACCATTAAGCAGTAAGGCCGACTTCGACCGGTAGTTTACTCCATTTAGTGTTATATCTCCTAGATTCACAATGTAAGAAAAAAGCAATGACTGACTTCCACTCCCCGACTTGTATACAGCTTTGCGGTTGTAGTCTCCAACTTCCAGCTGTAAGAAAGGTGTACCTCTTGTCAAGTCCACAGTGATCAACCCCGAAAAGCTTACGGCAATTATTACTTCGTCGCCACGGTAAACTGTCGTGGACGGCGCAGACGATACAAATATGCTTGACACACTTGGAGGGATTCCATCGATGGACAACTGAGCGTTGTCTGCTAGGCTTTTACCTAAAGTTGTTGTACTCGCCAGCGTCAAAAGTGCAGAAGCCTCCGACAAATTCGAAGACCCGATAAGAGAACGAGTGATCGAGCCACCATTCAGATCAAATGCTTGATCGTCCTGGTAATTCAAGTAGCCGCTTCCCGCGTGGTCTCCGGCAGATACTTGATAAGCAAATGTCAGCACTTTCGAGCCGCTTCCAGTTGTGTAACCCGCATAGCGCTTTGTTGGTCCAGTAGCCAGGATAATACGTGGGTAACCTATCACCGTGACTGGCTTGGTAAATGCAACAAATATAATGATCTCATCTCCAGGTGCGTATATTCCGCTGCTGTTACCACTAGTCACACCCACTGTCGCATCGATCGTCGGAAATGCGGTTTCAATGACAATACTGTTGAAATTGGAAAGTTTGAACGGGCCCGGCGCAACCGTCACAACAGCGTCGGTGGTCGGGCGCTGGGAGAAACGCTTAATGAATCCACCATTGAGGTCAATACTCGCAGTCACGTCCAGAATGGCGGCTGCGTCGCCAGTTTGAACAGTGTATACAAAAACTAGAGTGTCGGTATTACTACCACTATAAAATGCAGCGAGGCGGATTCCTCCCGTACCACCTACAGTCATCAGTGCGACCGGTAAATATGGATCGCCGCGGACTGAAACGGGGTGAGAAAACTTTACTTTCAGTTCAATTTGTTGTCCTGTACCATATTCGCCGTCGCCTGGTGTTGAACAAAATATGGATGTGATCATCGGGGCTGTTGTATCTATTATCACCGCACTGGATCCCCCAAGAGAATTAATGCTGCCTAGCGCCGGCAGCGTAAGAATGGGAGGCTTACCGTTTCGGTCCACAATCAGCCCGCCATTCAAAGATAACGCCGTCGTTGAAGTGTATTCTAAGTCTGGACTATTGTCTGTGGCCACGATTACATACTCGAAGGTGAGAGCGGTGGTCCACGGAACGGTCGTTGCGACGATAACAGCTTGACCGTTTGATGCAATTCCATTTACTGAAGAGGCCAATTCTAGTGTCGGTGTGCCTCGAATTGTAACTTCGTCCGAAAAAGTCACTTGAACCGCGACCCGCGCACCGACACCATAGGGCATTGGGTACGCTGAGCTGACTAGCGCACGCACATTGACAACAGTCAGTAGGGGAGCTGCTGACGTATCAACCACAATGCTTGATATTACTGAAGGACTGGAGACCAAAGCGACCGAGACGCTTCCTGTATTCAGTGAGGAAACCAAATTGCCTCCGGCATCGAGCAGCTCAACGACAGGTTGTATGTGGTTGGGCTGACCATCTACAATACCGTTCGACAAATTGCGCTGCAAGAGCAATGACACAGGGTCACCCGTCAGCACGTCAAATGCCTCTGAAACCACCGAAACATTCGTGTTTATCCACAATTTTTTGCCTTGGACCTTGGTATACAGCGTGAATCTTAATGAGTATCCATTTCCTGCTTTGTCAATTTTTAGACCGCGAAAAACTGCCATGCCTTTTCGTACAAAGACGGTGAGCCTATCGATTGGTGTAATTGTTCCTCGGGAAGGATTTGCAGCAATTGCCACAGAAACTTTGCTTGAACTGTCGGCCACGAGAAGATTACCTCCTGTGTCAAGGAGCATAAGAACTGGCTGAATAGAAAATGCCTTTCCACCCCGTGCTTCTCCAAGTGAAGATTCTAGTACTAGCCTATTGCATTCACTTGCCGCAACCGTAAAAAAATTTGTGACCACTGTATTACCTCCAGAAAGGATCAAATCTGTTGTGTACCGCAGCCTGTACGGCGAGCCTGCGGGTTCAATGTATATTCCAGAGAAGCGTCCAATACCACCGCTAATCGATACATTCAAAATGGCCGCTGGTTGCAGCACCCCCCCAACAGGATTAGCATCAAACTCAATACGCATATATCCCTCATTCGTTGCCGTCACAATGTTACCGCCTCTGTCAACCACTCCCAAGGCTGGCTGTGGCAAGAAAGGGGTGCCACTAATAGCCTTACTGATGTCATTAAGCATCGCAAGCCGATATTTGGGACCCACAACGATTTCAAATGACGATGACTCGACCCACACACCATGATAGTATGAGGAAAATACGAGTGTATAGCCAATATTTGCCTCATTAATATACAGCCCAAAACAACGCACGATGCCGTTTACGATAGCAAAGTCGTTCTTCTGAGGATAAAGAACTGCGAATCGAGACAAATTGTTTCTAATATCAACAACGACAGTGCCATCATTTTCGAAAATGAGAATATTGCCGCTGTCGTCAGTTAACGCGATAACAGGCTGCACAACAAACGGTTCTCCTGCTGTAGATGTCTGTGGCTGCACAAGAACAGTTAGTCGCTTCGCTGGTGCTTCGATAAGCAGCAGCAAATACACGACAAATTGTAGTGGAATCGAAGATCGGACACGCCTGCATCCTGACATTACAATCACCAGCTAACGTATCATAAACTTGCATATCAATAGCGGCTGCATCAAAGATTCGATACAGAATCTTTACTGGCGACCTTTGGCCGCAAGAGTCGTACTATTTGGTGTAAAATCCGTTATAGTCAAGTCTCGTGCACAGATTTGACAGATGTGAATTTTGCTGCCAAACAAAACGCATCAAAATGTCAATTAAGGTATAAACAACAAAACACTGCTCTTTGCATACCTGGAGCAGCGACCTACGAAGCAATTGCTGCATGAACTCGCCCAGAAGGGAGCCAAACTGAATCTCTAGATCATTTGTAATCCTCACAAACGGATTTTCTTTTTCTCCGTCACGTTCCGTCAACGCACGCTTCACATCATCCGATAGCTCTCGAATGCGCGTACGACGCATGTCAACTTGCGACGATTGCCTGCGTCTCAGCCCCTTCTTCTTGCTGCCAAATGTTCCTTTTTGGCGCTGATAGCTCGCCAAAGCAACTTCCGCTTCTTCACGTGCCTTCTTCTCGGCCCGCCGATCTCGCTCAGCCTCACGTTCGGCCTTTATCGTCT